AGCAAATCCCAGCTGGATCGATGGGTGGCGTGTAGAAAACCGGAATATTATATGTAATTCAATCTACTGAAAAATTTGTAAGTAGTTTGTTATTATAGATGTAAATATACGGCCTCACGACATAATCTAATCCAAGAATCTAGCCACAAAGCAGCAGTAGCAAGCAAACCTATTTCATGACGGTTCACGGTCGCTGTGTCACAGTGCCGTCATTGTGAATTGCGGTCATTTATAAGGTAGTCGATGCGTCAGCGCTCTGCGCTCTGGTAGCACTGTAGTTGCTGGTTCGCGACTGCTTATTCGCCAGACTCAGGGGCCTGCTAATTTCGCAGCTAACCTTCGCAGAAGGCCGTTCCACTGTCCGCTACCTGTGGACGCGTCAGGTAGCCAGCAGCTAGGCTAATGGGTAACCCGCCTTCCCAACCGTCCAAAATCCGGTCTGATGCTCGACAAGGTTGCGTCCTGTCGCTCATTCTGTTTAACTACGTCATTAACTCGATTCTCAGAGAGGTCCTACACGGTTTTGACGGTGTGGAGTTTGCACCCGGACGCCAGCTAACTATCCTTGCCTACGCTGATGATATCGCCCTGCTAGTCTCAAGCTTTGATGATCTACAGTCCATAGTGTCACGGGTGAATGAGATCGCTACGTCGGTTGGCTTGTCCATGAATACCAGGAAGATCAAATTATTCTAGAGCTGCACTCACTGACAAGGAGAAGTCATCCCTGGGAACTAATGGCCATCAACTTGAAGAAGTAGACAGCTTTAAATACCTCGGGCGAGGCTGCTACCCAATGAGCAGAGTAAGTACGACATTGTCTCCCGAATCGATGTTGTTCGTCGGGTTTTCGCGATCCTTCGAAAGCGCCTGCGGATCCGACGCACTATCTTTGTTGCCACGAAGGTTCGTGTGTACCGCGCATCCGTCCGGTCAGTCCTCCTCTATGGGTAGGAATGCTGGGCTCTGCCCGTTGAAAATGAGCGAAGACTGGGGTTATTTGACCACCGCTACCTCAGGACCATCCTTCGAATGAAGTATGCCGACTTCCTTTCAAATCAGACAGTCTGCACTCGCTGCGACAATATTGCGAGGATATTTCAGGCCATCCGAAAAAGTCGACTGGGGTGGTTTGTGTACGTTCTCCGTCGCCCGTTTTAAGAGTTGTATTATGCTGCTCTCGATCCCGCGCCGCAGCCCACTTGAGGACAAATCAAGCTTCGCCCCAACACCGTTCGTCTAGACATGAGAATGGTTCTTGGACTCTCGGTTTTCGGTCTCCGTCGCTGGAGAAGAGAACGGATGGAGCTTTCCAGATCGGCTACCGCTAATCGTCACGCGTGGAGAGGTACCATTCGTTACATCATTGAGGCCGGTCAGATCAGGCATGATCACAGCCGCACCAAGTACCAGTGCAGGTAGTCGTCAATTTTTTATTGCTCGCGGTGGCTCGCGCTCACTGTCTGCTGTTTAATCTATCTTAAAGTCACTGCGCAAAGTGCTCGCCTGAAGGAAGATCCACAGAAATGCAATTCATTTGTTCATCGTATATGCAGCATCCTAGCTGGAAACTCAATCCAGTACATGCGTGTGTTTTGTCTTTCCGTTGCTATAGGGTGGAAAGCCCGTACTTGTAGTACATTTGCTCTGCGGGTGATTTGAATACAGCCAGTGACTGACATACTCCACGAACTCTTTTGAATCCTCTTTGTCAATTCCCTATCCACCTATTGAAAGAGTGACTGATCGATTGGCTAGAGAAACCTTTTAACTGATTATTATGAATAATTTAAAAATTGATACAGGGAAACCTTTGAGGGGTAGTAAATGCCTTGAAAAAAGATGATTAAAGTGCCTGATAGAAGCGAACAGGTGTCTCAGGAATCATTTC